AAAAAAAAAATAATAATAATTAAAAAAAATAATAAGAAAAGGTAAGTGGTCAACAAAAAAGGGAAAGCTGTAAATACATAGAGCATAATTATTTTATCCATTTATCTCTTCCATATTACAAGGAGCCAATAACGAAAATACTGATAGTTCTTTCATGCCCAAGACAAGAACCTATTTTTTTGTATTTGCAAATTCAGCAGCACCAAAAAATTAAGAATATCAAAGCTCTAATCTTAATCATGATACCATTTTATTTTGTTATAGTTCTTTGATAATATGTGATAAAAAACCAACTAACTCTTACTGAAAATAGTGGCAATAGCATGGCAGTTTTATTATAAATAGAAGAAAGACACAGTATTTCACAAGGAAAACAAAACTGAAACTAAACCATAATCAGTAATGATTTGAAATTCAATACTGATAAATGCGTATTTGAAAAAAGTTAAAGAAAAATAGACAATGACATTAGAGCTATCAGTTTTACTTTAATTATCTTCATATAAAAAAGTCATAAAGATATTTTACATTCGTAGTATAATCTTCACTTCGTAGAGAAACCTAATCAATAAATCCAGTCACGGCAGCAGCAAACATTTTTTTAGTTTGAGTAGTCTTGGTAAGATATTTTTGAGAGATACATATATACTATTACAGACAAACTCCCCACATTTCACTTTTCTTCCAATCCTAAAGAAAAGCAAAAATTTATAATATATGAAACTCTCATGAAAATCTAAGACTTTTGTGCCTGATATTTCAAGAGTTCACCTTTTTCCTTCCTAAAATTGTTTAGAAAGAAATACACTTCTTAAATCAGGAGGGAAACCTTAATATTTCAATTTGGAAACCTTAACTGTCTTAGAGACTACTTTTTTTCCTATGAAAAATGTTTCTCCTATTAAATATGCCATTCTAACTCCACTTTAATAACCTACTTATGTATTATTTTTTTTTTTCAGTCTGTTCCTGTATTTGTAAAACGTTTGAAGAAAATAACTGGTATTAAATGCATAACCTTGAAGAATAAATCAGTTGCAAGGTTTACTGAGAAAAAAAACCTCTGGTAATGGAAATTAGAAATGCCCTAGACAGTTTGCTGGGGTTGTCCGTCTGTTTGTTTCAGAACTAAAAGGTGCTAGAAATTCTAATTAGGAGTAGAAAGCAAAAAATGGCTCACAGTCAATCTTTACTGATGCTTTCAAACACAAGTTGTGACTTTTTTCCAAGCCCCCCAGCTTCAAAAGCTCTCGTGAGATCTATTGCAGAGATGTTCATGTAGCAAAACTATAAATGGGCAGTGCCTGAGTTTTCCCAAGTCAATGGGTTTACAAACTACATTTCCATTTCAAAATGGTACCGCATATGAACTATCCTGGCATGCTAAGGTGAAACCAAACAAATGAGAGAAGAAAGGCAGAAAGAATGGCTGAAGTAGTAACTCCAGCTCTATTAGACTGTAGTATGAACTAGATGACGATCTAGTATTAACTACATGACCGAGTATCATTTGAGTGTTTGAGCTTTCAAACTTTCAACTGCCATTTGCTTCTTCTCACAGATAGCAGACAACTATTACAACGATTAGGATACTGAAAATATTCACTGATACAGGTTTATCTGCAACTAAACCAAACCAAATCTTTTAATCATTTTTTTGTCTGTTTAAATTAAAAGATGCCATGTACCGTAAGATCTGATTCCTCCTATTTGCTTACGGTGCCTGATAAGAACCCCTCTTACCCCATTCTGGTCATTTAGAATTGACCTAAAGCCAACATTATCGTGAAATACGTTCACGTTACAATTTATAGTCTGTGTCAAATCAGTAGTCGGTTCATTTTTGCTTAAGTCAGTTAAAACTTACCTGAAACTGTAACATTTCTAGACGCTTGTCAGTGAATTCAAAGAGAGCCAAAGTAGTCTTCATCATATAAAGTGAATTTACCATGAAGGTTGCCATATCAGCTGTGCCCAAATTACTAGCAGACATAGTACACATCTGCAACAACGGATCTAGCACACAAGACAGAACCTAAAACATAAAACACGCAGGGAAGAGGGAGGGGAGGGAGGAAATCATGTCACACAAGGCTTCTAAGCTCATTCTGTCTCTATCAACGTATTTATTCCCCAAAGCGGAATAAAGAGAAATCAGAGTTTCCAACTGTGAAAGCAGTTTTCTACTGGATTTGTCAGCAGGTGCTCAGCTACCATAGTGATGGGAAATGTATAAAAACCAGAGAAGAACAGATTCTAACCTAGCAGAAGGAAGATTAACACACATTAGACAGTTAGTAATTGTGCAATCTTGAGGGAGTATTTACTTAATGGAGTAGTAATTGGATAATAGAATTTAGATACTGTGTCAAGAGTAGCATACTCCATACTGCACTGTAATTATCCACTTTCTTAGTCAACATCTTATTCAGATTACCAACCCACGTCTGGCAGAAGGGTGCAAAATGGTACCCGACAAAAAAAATTAACCCTTCACTCATTTTTTTGTTTACTGAGACTAATTTACACATACTTTTTTTCCTTCCCCCTCCTCTTCAGAGCAGTCAAGAATTCTTGTACCTGCACGAAGTCAGCTTGACGGGCATCCAGTGGAACAACAGATGAGTCGTGAGATGCCAGAACCTCCCGGAGCAAGTTAAGTGTCTGATTTAGTGCAGAGCTTGGGCCAAGATCAGGAGGCGGGAGTTCAACCTGAAGAACAAGATTATCTGTTTGTGGGGGTTTAAAATTTCCTTTACAGCAAACACCATCCAATTCATTAGCACAAATGCAACCAGCTAATAATACAACTGCATGTAGCCACACAGAGAAGACCTTCTAGTTTGACACTGGATGAATCTAGCATGTTTCAGATAATAATTGCCTGCAACCTTCAACACAACCACCCCATTCAGTGACAAAAGGAGCAAAACTAAATTTCTCCTTTCACTCAGAATCGGCCTATTTCAATCTAGAGACCTAAAGAAACCCCCACACTCCCATTTTTGGTAGTAAAATAAAATACATTTGCTAGATTGGGTGACAAAGAACAGCCACATTTTTGGCACCACTGAGCTCACTTTGAGCAGGATCTCCTGTAAACAATCCGGAATCTAGTGCAGGCAGAGCTCTGGGATATGAGGTCACCCCTCAGTCTCCTCTAAGGCAAAGAGACCCAGCTCCTTCAGCCTTTAAGACTCCAGCTCAACAAGAAAAGGTGGCAGCTGTGGGTGGACCCTCAAGCTACAGGCAACACTTTCCACATCTCCCCAAATGAGAACTGCTGATTTAATAGCATAACAATGTGGATGTCTGAGTCTTCATGGGGCAGAGGCTGACGGCCGAAGAAACCAAGGAGAAGATAGTAGGCATTTTCAGAGCTGAAGATTACAGAGCCTTCTGGAAATAAACCTGTACCTAATGAATATGCCACCACAGACAGAAGAAAGAACTCTCTCTTCAGAGACAGGCCTTGCTTTCACAATGTGTGTGTTTCAAAACATTTGAGATATTGTACATGTCCTCACAATGTTACTAAGATCAAATAAAAACTTTTACGAAGCCTTCTGAATACAAAAGTGTTCCTGTATTCTCACTTACCAAGAGACAGCATACTGAATTCAAGGAACTAATGGAAAACTAAATTTAAATGGTTCAGAGAACAGTTGGTGTTCAGCCTAAACAGTCTTGAAAGCATAAAACAAATATTCTAGCAATGAAGTAACAGTAATTCAGAAAGAGGCACTTACGCAGTGCTGATTACTAGTAAAGTTTACAGCAACTTACATCACTGAGTGACTTTCTTCTTGTTTATTCCTGTTATTATTAGGGGTATTGATTGTGCCCTGAACACACTGTTCTCAGACCTGAACTGGACCGTGTTCAGGGATATTTTGGCCTTAATTTGAGACTGGAGTTTGATATAACACACACACACACACACACACAGACACACAGACACACACAGATCACGGCAATGATCATTTCAGGCTTTTTTGCACACAATTTTTGTATCCTGAAGTTGCTGATGGTCAGAAGCTTCTAAATTAACTTCATCTTTCATCTAACCTGTTCTGTTAAAAAGTCCACTTTCTTCTAGATGGGAGCAAGGAAGAACATTATAGAAGAAAAAAAACACGGCAAGGAAAAAAGGTTTAGATTGTTAAATTCTATTGGGGTTAGCTACTACTACAATAAGGGCAGAATTATCAGTAAGTAGGAGGAAAATTAAATCAGTGCTACAATAATTCTGAAAATTCTAACTTTTCGCATTTGAATGTGTTTTTTTCAGAATTAAAAAGGAAAATGTAAAACCAGACATATCTAATTTACAGAGGAACTTACTGACTTCAATTCATGAGCATTAAATCACTGTTCTAATAAAAAAATTGATGCCTTAATGTTTTACATGCACTAAAAGATTATTATATCAATCCTATTTCCAGAAAAAAATGAGTGTTGAATTCTACTTTTGAAGTACCTGCTTCAGATGCAAACCAGGCAGGAGCTAACCACAAAATTATCAGAGAAATTTTAACAGCATTAACATATAAACTAACAGAGTATTAAGTGTATAAACAATCATAACCAGCAGTTCAGCCATGCAGAAACAAGGCCAGCCACCTGTTCAGTCTTTCAAAGAAAACAAGAAAAAATTCCTGATTTTTAAAAGCCAATATACAAAACTGAAATGCATTCTCCTAAAATTACAATGGACAGTAAAAGTTGTACATAAGGTTTAGTACAAAACGTTGCATCTTCATTTAAAGTTCTGCTTATCAGTCAGTGGGGAATAATTACTAAGCCACTAATCTTCCTACAAATATACAACCCAGAGCAGGCTTCCTGGTCTCTGACAGCAAGTAGCTCAAAGGATGTCTTGAAGGGTTTAACAAAGAGCAAATAAATATACAAGAAAAAGAAGAGGCAGTATTAACAAGGAAAAGAGTGCATGTATGTTAACTGTTTCCCTTTCCCATTTACAAAGGTTAAATGAAAAAGTGTAATTTTTTGTTCTTATTAAACGCTGTTAATTCTTTTAAGAACTGGAGCAGGTACCAGCTTTGTTAGCTCATACGTGCACCTGAAAATACTGAAAATACTGTATAGGCAAGCAATCCAAATTATTTATATACCAACATACTTGAACATTAGAAAGTTAACAGTACAGACAGACATCGATATACTGGAGCAAGTCACGCAAAGGGCCACAAAGTTCAGGAAGAGACCAGAATACCTCCTACACACGGAGAGGCTGTGTTCAGGCTGGAGGAGAGAAGGCTCAGGGAGAATGTTATCAATGCATATAAATACCTTGTGGGAGGGACAAAGAAGAGGGAGATAGACTCTTCTCAGTGGTGCTCAGTGATTGATCAAGAGGCAACGGGCACAGAGAAAACAGGTTTTTACTGCAAGACTGGTCAAACACTGAGGACAGTTGCATAGTGAGATTGTGGAGTCTCCATCCTCAGAGACATTAAAAATTCAACTGCAATCAGGCCTGGAGAACCTGCTCTAGCTGACACTCTTTGAGCAAGATGGTTAGACCAGATGGAGCAGTTCCTCCTGAACTCATCCATTCTGCAGTTCTGTGATACTAGTACTAAATACAAAAAGGTAATTTTAAACATAGAGCTCCTCAGAGAAAGTACTGCTTAGAGTGACAAACAAAAGATTGGTGGCTTTTTTAAAGGCCTAATCTGCTTTTAATACCACCTTTAAGATCCTCACTGGCAGGGGGTGGAGACAAAGCACTACAGATCCTGCAAAAAGGTATCCGGCTGCTTCATCCTGTCATTTACAACTGATTAGCACTGGAAGAGGCTGCCCAGGGAAGCTGTGGAGTCTCCTTCTCTGGAGACATTCAAAATGCACCTGGACATGTTCCTGTGTGACCTACTGTAGGTGATCCTGCTCTGGCAGGGGGGCTGGACTAGATGATCTTTGGAGGTCCCTTCCAATCCCTGACATTCTGTGAACTACAGAAATTCATTCTTCAAACTGAAACAATATTCACCATTGTTGAACAGCAGCAGTCTAAGCAGCTTGAGTGCATGTCTACCAGAGAAGCTTCAGAACAGCTGTCCTAGGCTCTGAGTCCTATTAAGACCCTACAGAGATCGCCAAAGTAAAATGCCTAATGGCATGCTATGCTTTTCAGACATCAAGTTGGTCTTGGAAGAAAAGACAACAGAAAAATTCTTGCTAGCTTTGCTTTGTTCACATGGATTCACTCAAAACCACAACAGCATTCACATTACAGCATCAACTGGTCTCATTTAATACGCCTCCTATTTGTTTTACCAGAAACCTAACAGGTTTCATTCTGATAGGAATCAAATTATGATGGAGAAATTTACAGTTATTCTCATGTAATGTTTTATATCTCTCCCCCTGACAAACTTAACAAATAATGCAATCATAGCATTTAATTTGCATACATTTACTCTAAAAAGAACAGCATTCAGGAATAACAATCCCAAAACTGGATTTGGGATGCTCTACTAATATTCTAACAGCTCAGCAAGAAGATGACACATTAGTTTGGCATAGTCTCTCTTTAGTACCCTTATGATAACTCTCACCCCATTTCATTCAATGTTTGCAATTATTCCTTCCTTTAGTAACTGTTCTGGAGTACTATGGAAGCCACAGTAAGGGCAGCTGTGCTTGCAAATTCCCACTCTTCTAATGTATTAGCTAGTGCAACAGAACCTGCTGGCATAGGTTAGCCTAACAGGCTTGTTAAAATGCCTCACGATTTTAAATGACAATTCTCTCAATATGAGAGAACTGAAGGAGCAGTCCACCCCCCCTGGTGTATTAGGAGCTTTGAACTTCACTTCCAGTTTCATTGGAAAAGTTTCCTTTGTTCTGATAATTATTTTCATTTAGTATTTTCTCCTGGATTTTTCATCATTTCTAAAATGGCAATCTGTACCAGGCTGTTCTTGGTTAGATACAGACAGTGAGTAACACAAGCAGAACCTCAAATTCCTAAACATTTGATGTATTAGCTCAGAGGAAGAGGAAACATATGAAAGGATACATAAGGATTGACCCTGTAATTCTCATCTGCTTTACTAGCATGACTGGTGGCCCCATGGTTGGGTCCAAGAAAGCTAAAAAGAAAAAAATACAAAGACAATTTTTCAGCGCAGGGACTCTAACACTGTCCAAAAAACATTCTTTTTGAGCCAACAACCAGAACAAACCAAGTGCTGACCGAGTTTGAAAGCACTGGCAAGACTGCCCAACACTGGAACACTTTTGTCTGAAATATAAGAGCTAACAAGACGAAGGAGAGGCAGAGTTTGCAGTAAAAGCTGATGCATGGAACCTTCAGTGACACACGAGAAGTGTGGCGATGCACAGCTTCTCTGCGATGTCGGCACTGAGCTCTATGACAACCTAAGAACCTCAAGGGTGTGAATGGCATTTTAAACCGTGAAAACAAAAGTGACTTTGCAATGACTCTGCTACCAAGCTTGACGACGGGTTTCAAGGAGTATCAGAGCCAAAGAGACTCCCTTGTGCACTGTCTTTCTTTGATAACAATGGACTTACTTTCAGGCAGGATGTCAAATACTGCTGTTACATAGATTTCAGACCATTAAAAGCTGTCTGAGAAAGCTGAACATCACCACCATAAAAGTGGTTGCTCAGACTGAAGGGTCTGAAGTTGTGAGCACTGCTGACTACCTTATTTTCAGATTACAACCAGGATGCTCAAGATTTTCTGATGTAATGCAAAAGCCAAAAAAGTTCATAGGGAAGTGCTTCTGGGCAAGCCAGTAAGTACTTTGAAATAACCAGAGATTTCCCTGTATCATTTACACTGAGGGCTTGACAAGCAAGGGGAAGAATCTAAGACTGCCTTTAAGTTTCCATCCAGCTCTGTGCTTGTGACACTCCTTATGTAATTTGGGACTCTTCTCAAAAATAGATGTGAAGAGGAAGCTATTTTCTTGTCCTAGAAAGAACAGCCTGAAGTCTCAGTTTCCCACCGCGCTTCAGAAATCAAGTCCCAGGCAGCTCGAAGGCTCAGCTTCGCTTAATCAGTAACCTAGGGAATTAAATTTTCTGTGATGATGAGGACATCAGAGTCAAATCATCATCCTGTCATTTCTTTACATCCAAAGGAAAGGATCTTAAGGAGTTAGCAAACTTAATGAAACATACTTTGTCTAAAAAGAAAGTTTCCAACTAGCTCTACTTAAGAGAAAGATTTGCTTAAATACTATTCTAGTCTATCAACAGTTAGCGTGTAGATATTAAAAAAGCACACCACAGCAAGGCACAGTAACACACCAGTGTTTCTAAACAGTTCTCCCCACATACAGCACAAGAGAATCTGCACAGGGCTAAAGAGATTCCTGTCAAGTTACAAATCTGCAGGTAATTATGACTAAGTCTTCTGGAATTTTGTGGTTACAAAAAGCAATTAAGAGAACACTTCAACTCCTTTTAAAGGACATAAAAATTGTAGAACCGATTTCCATTCAGAATTTCTTACTTACTATTTCCAGATTATCAACAACAACTAATGATATTGAGGGAGTATTATCATTAAAATGGTGTAACTCACAGAAGCTATGTTCACCACTTCTCAATGATCTGAACAAAAAAAAGTACTTAAAGCTTATAAATCCAAAATTTTTTAATGAAGAATACTCTATCTGCATTTCCAAAGTTATTTAAATTGCCTTAAAAATAGCATTTTATTCAAAGTAATGGACGGCTGATATCCTTGTAAACAGGCTTATCAATGCTGTAAAATGCAAAATACGAGCATAAATAAGGAACAATGATTTCCAGACTGTGCAAGTGAAAAGTAATTTACTAATTTTGCAAGTGAGTATTCTGTTTATGCACAACAGGAGCAGCAACAAAGCCTTTGCAATCACGTATATAAGCATAAAGGGTCTGTTTTCCAGTGCTTTAATCTTCTCTGGAAATCAGATATTTCTGGAAGTAGCTACAGTGCATAGTTAACAAAAAGCTGGTAAAAAGGTTGTGATGTGAAAAGAATCCTACGAAAACATACACACAGTTTTGGTCTGAACACAAATAAATAAAACACATAAATAAAAGGGATGGTAAAAGCAACCTTGAGATTCTTCAAAATGTAAAAGCATTATGACATTCACTACTAAATTAACAAAGACATATGAAAAGGCACAAAAGCTGATTGTCTGTATATTAACACACAATAAACTAAGTAGCAAGAGAATTAAATTTATAATAAAATACGGTCTTTATCTCACGGAAACTAACGTTTCTCTGAGTGTAATTCAGTCTATTCATTTAATATTTTTTGTGAAGTAAAACTAATTTCAGCCATGACATGATAAGACACCATTCTTTCAATTTAGCAGTCCACTCATAAAGTGTAACAATACAAGGTGCTTCAAAGGATTGTCTAAAACTCAGGTACAAGAACTACACATCAGTACAGTCAAGATTCCTTCTGAGTTACCTTGTTAACTCCTGAAGCAGAGAGATTAATAAATAATTGTGGATGCCTTTGGTACTCATGTATCTAATCCTCTTCTGAGTCTCTCTAAGCTTTTGACCTCAATTATATCCTGAGGAAAGATCTTCACAGGGCACATACGCAATGTAAAACTGTTAACGTTTCAGATTTAATTTACAAATCGCGTCTCTGAAAAAGAGCGAAACTACGATCTTTTTACATGGCACGGTAGGCTCGGTATGCTAGTTCACAAGTTGTCATCAAACCACAACTGAAGGTGGCAGGGCAATCACTGCCTTCACTTAACGTCAGTCAACCCATATTTGACTCCTTTATAAACCAACGGCAGCATCCAGAGCCAGCTACCCCCAGGCTGGGGGCTGAGGGAAGTGGAACTAAGAGGGCAAAGAGGATTACGCAATACAAAGAACACATGCTATGAACTGGGGGGTCACAATGCCTTCATCACTCCTTGCCCTTCTGAATTCTACGCGTCTCCAAACCGAAAACAGCTTATCACCCGAAACAAAAGGACAAAGACTGAGTTACTTGAGTAGAAAAATTATGCTGGATTCTGTTTGAGTACAGATGTAAGACCTAGCAGGATAAAAACAGAGATGAATACAGAACTGTCTCACAGTTTCAAGCCAAGAAAATTTATTTCCTTAAGCACTACTACATTCGCATATTCTTTGTAAGTAAAGAACAGTGACGTATTTTTGCTAAGGTCCATCACTGATTTCTCTTCACAAAAGGATCACGCACACAGATATTTTATTTTAGCTTACGTATTAGGAAATAAAACATTTTCAGGAACTCATACACAGCTAGCATATGCCATAAACTTCATTTATTTATTTATTTTGGTACATTCATATTGTCTCTGTCCATTTTATGTTTTATGAACTCAAGCTTTAAGTGAGCCTTGAAAAAGCATTAGTAGTAGAGGTACTACTATTTCCATGACACCACATGCAAATGGGAACACTCCACGACAACAAACAAGTGGACTTCAGTAGTATGAACTTTGTGTGGTTGCAACTGAGGAGTAACCTGATGAATGAAAAAACTACTGCAAGGAGTCACTGGGAAATATGGAAGGGAAGAAAAGGAGGAACAACTGTTCCTTTGAGAAAGTCACTCCTCAGCCCTTGCACTAAGACAGGAAGTTGGGAGCTGACACAAGCTGTGCAGAATGAGAAAACGACTCTGAGAATGCCGAACAGCATTCACCAAACTTCAGAAATACTACTGAAGAGCTGGTGAACTAGAAGGCTCTGCACAAAGAACAGTTTCTGTCAATCTACATACTTTTTCATTTTTCATGTAGGTTAAGTAAAATTAATTTAGAAATACTCACAAAATTTTGCTGTTTGTTTTCCACTTTCAAACTTTTTTTTTTTTCCAAACTGGAAAAAGCAGTAATGTGAGAGCTGAGAGTAATGTGAATGGTGCGGTTGCACAATAACTAGGAATATAAAAGGCAATTCTTGGGTCTGGGGCCCAGTCAACTCATCAATATCTCAGACAGGGATGCTGCACGAACATCAGATCCCTAGGAAATGGAAAGGGACGTGCAGCCTAAAAATTTTCTTTGATTTTGCTTAGGTTTTAGAAAAGTGAGATTTAATGTGCAGATCCACCAACAGCAACATGATTTGAATACAGGAGGGAGAAATTAAAACAAAATGTATTAGTCACTGAACAACGGGAAGTTCACTGAAACACAATTCAAAGTGATCAATGGGAGAGGAAAAGATACCAGGAAAAGCATGCTGACCTAGGTAACAGTTGTTTGGTACAACAAATGTATATTCTGGTTTTAGCAGCAGCAACGTTCATGTGGTAAAACCATAGAATCGTTAAGGTTGGAAAAAACCTCTAAGACCATCAAGTCCAACCATCAACCCAACACCACCATGACTACTAAATCATGTCCTGACCTGCCACATCTACACGTTTTTCTGAACGACTCCAGAGATGGTGACTCAACCCCTTCACTGGTCAGCCTGTTCCAGAGCTGAACAACTCTTTCGGTGAAGAAACTAATTTCTTCTTGTCCTATCACTTGCTACATGGGAGAAGAGACCAATACCTACTTCACCACAACCTCCTTTCAGGCAGCTGTAGAGAGTGACAAGGTCTCCCCTCAGCCTCCTCCAGGCTAAACAACCCCAGCTCCCTCAGCCACTCCTCATAAGACTTGTTCTCCAGACCCTTCACGAGCTTTGTTGCCCTTCTCTGGACACGCTCCAGTTCCTCGATGTCTGTCTTATACTGTGGTGCTCAAAACTGAACACAGTATTTAAACTGTGGCCTCATCCGTGCCCAATACAGAGGCAGGATCACTTCCCTACTCCTGCTGGCCACACTATTTTTGATGGCCAGGATATCGTTGGCCCTCTGGGCCACCTGGGCACGCTGCTGGCTCATTTTTATAAAAGACAGAAAAGCCCATATTTAGCTTACCACCTTGGGATATGCTTCAGAACAGAAATTACACAGATAAGTAATTAACTAGTGATCTGATGATGCGTTAATCTACCTCAATCAGCTGACTTTGCTACACTGCACGAAGGAAACTTCCAAATTCTTTTGCTTCTCATAACTTTAAAAATATGTAAACTGCTCTGCAAATAAATACTATTATTAACAGTATTTCAGATATTTTCACAAAATAGAACCATTAAGAGAATTAAAGCATAGCCAGGAAGTTTTTAAGGTAGTCTGTAGCTCAAATACAGACACTACAAAACTTGTTTTAGGAAAAGTTGACATGCAAACCAGCTATTCATTTAATAATCTTGTTAGACAAAAGGGAAATGAAAGTGTGTTTTGAAACATGAAAGTTGTACGATTTTGAAACAAACCTTGTCCATTAGTTTACTTGCATGAAGACTCAGGCTATTAAAGAATATCTTCTTGCTCAACAAATGCATTTCTTCAATTGTTGTCAACAGTGTTGCTGCACTGTTTCCTACAATACCACTGAAAACAAAATTAAGATTAATTAAATAATCCAAAGCGGAGGGAAACATGAGAGGGTCAGATATTTTAGCCAGCATTTGAAATACAACTTTCTTGAAGTTGAACATTCACAAAAATAACTGCAGGGAAAAGTTCTCCATATTAGCTCTCATAAGACGACCGTGAGAATAAGCATTATCCAACTATGTCAGTCAGTAGATATCAAGTACAGGCTATCTAAAGCTTTGCACAAACTTTAAGTAGAATTCTACAATTTACTGGATTTTTTATTTGCTATTCTGTAAATCTACTTCTGCTACAGAAAACAGATTGCACAAACTAAAAGGGTTGATAACTATTCTGTCATACTGCCCTTTAGGGATAGTATCATCTCTTGTTCTTCACTGCACTGTGAGGCACCTCCAAAAACACAAGAACTCATGCCTTGCTACTCGAAGTGTCAAACTATTATACTTAACATGAATACCACAAAAACCTTAAATGGCACTACAAGACTACGCTCCTCTTGCAGATATACCCTCTGTCTAAAGCAAAAGTGTTTTTAAGTTACAAAAAACCCAGTAAAAATTCATCGCGCCATAAGAGGACTAATTTTAACTTGCATTTTGATTTTCAGACTATAATCTTGTTGCATTTAATAGAATCATGGAATCATAGATTACTGGGTTGGAAGGGACCTCAAGGATCACCTAGCCCAACTCTTTAAGGTAAAGAAATACAGTTTAAATGAGAGAATAGATCATTTCTCAAACTGCATTTTTCCTTCATTAATCAGGTACACTTCCTCTATACAGAGGAAATTATTCAGCTGACAGAGGTATTTCAACAATGTATCAGTAGCAAGATAGAAATCAACAGGTTAAGACTGCATTTTAAGACCTTCCAGAAAAATGACAGCAAAAATCTTTCAGCTTTTCTTGGCAATAAAAGTAGGAATAGGTCCTATATGTGTTCTACCACAGATTCACGTTGCCATCAGAACGGAGGATTTTATAGGCAGTGGGAGGTGCCTCAGAACCACTTATCCCATTCTCCAATATCTAAATGTCATTGCAGACAGAAAAGGATCTCTGTTAGTGATATTAGAGATTCAAATTCTCAGGAGTTCAAGTATAGGGCTGTGGAGAAAGATTTTTCTGCTACTGCTTTTTCTAACCAGTATGAACTACTGCAAATGCCACAATGTATAAAACCAGCACTTCTGGCTTTTCTCCAGTTTCTGTGTTGCTTGGTGGCATCTGGAAGGTTGGAAGATGACTGGTGCACCTTCAACAGCAAGAGATGGAACTAGGCAAGCCTCTTCTCAACAGAAAAATGGAAGTGCATAATTAGAAAAAATTGTATCAAAACATGGTTGTTTAAGGAAGAAAAGAAAAATTTAAGTTCTGGAGATAATTTATTTCCGGAATTTTCTTAAAAGGGACTTGACTTGGTCATGTTAAACATTTTGTGTAGGGTTTTTTGTGTCTATACAGAACAATAAACAGTTTCTGTGGCAAATTGATGTTATATTCCAAGGGAGATTCAATACAAATTGAAGAATGACAACAGATAAATGGCATTTGCTTGGTGTCATGCACATTCCTCCTTGATTCCATAACACAGAGTAAAAAGGAAGACACAAAAGGTAGTCTTCTTATTAATCTTTACATATACAATTTAAAAAAAAACCCAGACATCTTTAATGTACTTTCTAAGTTTGCATACCTGATTGTATGGTGGTAGAACTTGAGAAGATTAGAAATCTTGTACAGTAAAACTGCTCCTGGCTCAGCAACAATCACCTGCTCAATTCTAACCTGCAGAGCAAAGAAATGTAAGCATTCTTCAGGTTATAAATTTTAAAAGTCAACCTCTCTGATTTTATATGTATGTCTAATTTTTGAAAAATAAATTTAATCACAAATTTCAAAAGAGAGTATCCAGTTAACTACAACATTATGCTTGAACCAAAGAGTTTCTTGGTTGCCAAGTCTCTAGGTAAAAAACAAGCAGGGGCATTCATTCTTTTAAAAAAAAAATAATTAAAAAATCCTGATTCCTTATAGATTTTTCTTGCAACTTGTTACTGAAAATTCAAAATAATGAGATCATGAGATGGATTAATATCAGTGCATAGAATCATAGGATGTTAGGGGTTGGAAGGCACCTGTAGGGATCATCTAGTCCAACCCCCCTGCCAGAGCAGGACATACCAGAATTCTCCCCAGCAATGAATAGCAAGAACAGCTGCAGAGCTGCAAAATCCCTAACTACAATCATCAGCATCATGCAGCAATTCAGAACATCCAAAAGTATTAGGCATTTTACCCAAAAGACAAAATTCCACCTGGACTAATCTCTTTTTCACTAAAGGAATAGATTAGATACCTCCTAGCAGTATTTAATTAGATGTATTTATAACTAATGACCTGCTTCGTTGACTACCTCAAGGAGATACTGGCTATGCAGATCAAACCAGCACTGACTGTTTCTGCAGTCGGACAGTTGATGTCTTGTCTCCATGGCAGACAGTCTCAATCCACCCCGAAAAGGCTGCCCCAGGGTCAGTCTTTGGCCACCCACAAAGCAGTGATGCCACTGACATAGCGCTGCACTGTTCTCCCCCGTGCCTGTGTGTGAAAGGGCTGCACACCCGCCCTCTCAAGTTATTTGTCTGATGCTCAGTGGAGCATGATCTGCAGCGATGTGGAACGGTTGAGAGAGCTGGGACTATTTAGTCTGGAGAAGAGAAGGCTAAGAGGAGACCTTATCAACTTGTATAAATATCTAAAGGGTGAGGATGGAGACGGATCTTTTCAGCAGTGCCCAGTGACAGGACAAGGGGCAATGGGCACAAGCTGGAACCCAGGAAGTTTCATTTAAATATGAGGAAGGACTTCTTCACTGTGAGAGTGACAGAGTTGCTCAGGGAGGTTGTGGAGTCTCCATCTTCGGAGACTTTCAAAACCCACCCGGATGCAATCCTGTGTGATGTGCTGTAGGCAATCATGCTTCTGCAGGGGGGTTGGACTAGATGACCTCTAGACATCTCTTCCAACTCTGATGATTCTGTGAATGCCTTCTCCTCAGAGTCAGTTGCATGGAGAATTAACTAAGATTATGCTTCCCCAACCCTCTCCCTTTGCATCTAAGTGGGATATCAAAATCCAGAGAACAAGTTTTGATTCTTATTTGCAAAGCTCAATACACAAAGTTAATTTCTATGCTCAGGTGAACTTTGCTTTCCAATGTGTATGTACATATAGAATTATATATACAAATACCTATCTCCACTGTTGCATAAAGATCATTTGGGCAGGGATACTGAGCTTGCTCTACTGGTACAGCATAGAAGAGTACAAAAGGTAGAGGAAAAAAAAATGAAAATCAAAACACTGACACTGAAAAAAAGGAGTAACTGAAAACAAAGAATTAAGAAATAGAAAAAGACAGAACAGGCAGATGAGAAAGAAAAATAGAACTAGAAAGCAAAAAAAATAGAATTAAAAAGACAAAGCAGGAAAAGACACATAGCTGCTTCTTCCCACAAATAAGTCTTCTCTGCACAGGAGAACCAAAATTTGCAAGTAACTAAAGATACCCTGCTCAGGGAAACTGCAGACTTAGAGCTCTGACCGTTTCCTAATCCTATGAGTCCTATAGTTGGTTGACCTGAAAAGACCATGAAAAGTCTACATGATTCATCAAAAACATTTTGTTAGCTTTGACCTCATCTTAAGTGCCATGGAAAAGATGAGGATCTTAATTTAAATGTTTTTAGGTTCCTCCTATTTCTATCTGAAACGAGAGGCCTGTGGTAAGATCTACCACTTGTGAGTACTTGAAATTCCCTTGGATGCCTAAAACTCAAACCAAATAGCAGTAAGAAACGTGGAAAATTTATACTGCATATAAACACAAACCTTCTTCCAAAGTAAGGCAACGGTATCATATTGTGCATTCATAGGGAAAGGCATAAATCAGCAAGAAAATTCTACATAATTCTGTAAGTATTAAAAGTGCTCATGGAAATTTTATGATGACTATTATCAGGCTATTTTATACTTCAACATCAGCTCAAAGTGACAGGTTTGCAAACATCAGCAAAAATCCACTAGAAAAGCAGTTTACTGTGATGTCACACAACTACAACAGAGTGTTTTCCCTGAAATTAATGCAGTTATTCTTATCATGGCCGATCTTCAGAAAGAACAATAATGTATCGTAGCAAAGACTCCTCCAAACTGTGTCTATTTTTGTTGTTGCTCTCAACATGATGGCTCACAATTATCTAAAAGCTTTGTGCGTAGGCTTTTCCGCTTGGAGTTTTTTGAGGGTTTTGTAGTGTTTTTTTTTTCCTATGGAAGATTTCCCCCGGGGGAAACGATAAGTACATTTTACATTGGGAAGTCTAGACTGGCAGTGAATCAGCATAAGTTGAATTCTACTAAAATATAGAATGCAATGGGAAGCCTTTAATTGGTCTTTTAGATTTTTTCATTTTTATTAGCACAACAACTAACTACTGACAACATTTCAGGGGATATTTCTTGAGACAGCATGAGTGTAAAGAGTTTGGCAAAAAAAATGGAAGGTATGCTGCACCAAACTGTACAAATTGCAAGTACGCAAATCAAGACCAAAACTCCTCATTTACACAAAGGTTTGATTCTACCCCTAAATAGTTTGTTGGAATGCACAACTAAAGCATGCAAGAAGAACACAGAAAACTTGGAAATGCAGGAGGTTCTGTCTAAGTATCAGGAAACACTTTTTTTACTGCGAGGGTGACCAAGCACTGGCATAAGTTGCCCAGAGAGGCTGTGGAGTCTTCCTCCTTGGAGATTCTCAGAATGCCTCTGGGCACAGGCCTGGGTAATCATCTCTAGGTGGCCCTGCTTGAACAAGGAATTTGGACCAGGTGACCTCCAGAGGCTTCTGGCAACCTCCATCTCTCCCTGACTCTGTAACATTCTAAAGGGCACCTTCTTGATTCTTGCCTCCCTTCAGACCTCACCTTTTTCTCATCAGGAACTAACACACAATATTGAGAACCCACCTTTTAACATCCGAGACTAAGTATTTGGCAGCTGGACACAGATGTTAAGAGCAACAGCATCCTAAGAGATATTTACTATAACAGTATTTAGTGCAGTAGATTTTACTTTTAAAGCACTTGGATTTATACACTGCACAGGTGAATACTGGTATTAACTTCATCAACATGATTATTTTAATTTTGTGCTTATGTCAAGTACATCCAATAAATAAGACAGTCAATCGTTTGATGGATCACTATTAATGATTTATAATAAAATGTTTCCCCCACACTGACTGAGGCTGTGGCTTGAAAAGAAGACAACTGTGGAGGGATGTGAGAGAAATACAGGAAATCAGGGTAGCATAAAGATGCTAAGTAGGAAACAATTTTTCATGGTCTCTTTCAATACAGGAGACTGAGTTACGAAACCAGACAAAACCAAAAGGAGCTGGCTTTTCACACTGCATACAATTAAACTGTGCACTTCCCTGCTGCAGGATAAGTTGTGAATATCAACATATTACATCAACTTGACATATTAATGCAAGAAAAATCTATTGAGGCCTGTTAAATACAGAGACAGTAGCTATTGCTCAGCAAGTCCTTCGTATATCCAGAAACAGGCAAGGAAAGTATTCTACAGAAGTATCATGACACAACTCCATAACCTGTACGCTCCTCTGTAAGCACATGCTAATGGCCACTATGAAAAACAGGATAGTAAATTAAATAGATTTTTCATTTGATCCACTACTGCTATTCCTATATACTTAGACCAAAGCTAAGTTTTTGTACATAAGCACTCTCGAACTTAGGAAAAGTAAAACAAAATCAAGATACAGATTTAGTATCTTAACACCTCTCGCTAGATGACTACTGAAACCAGGTAAGTATGCAGTCTTTAATTTTGAAGGGGTTTATGATTCTCAAAGTTGAGAATCTAACTCTTGATCAAGGGGGATGAAATACATTATAGAGAAGGGGAAACAAGTTCTAGAAAAACACACCAGAACAATTTTTACGTTTAGAATGCTAAGGAAAACAAAATACTTCACCTTCAGAGGCCTGCAAACACCTTCTGTGATGTGCCCAACTACTTCTTGAATATTTTCTTCCACACCTACAGTTAATGCAAACACATGCTAAGATTATGCAAATGAAATTCTCTTTTCTTCAAGACTATAAAACAAATAAGCAAACGTAGGAGCTACTCCTCCATAAAAAGCATTATGAACTGCATGTTCTTTTCTCCAGAGACTGGTTTACACCTCCACTGAACTTCAAATCTAACCATTAAGAAATAGCTGCATGACGAAACGGAGTCCTGGAGAGTCATTACCCTGTGCTATGCAATTGCTTCCGAGCACAACACAGCGCCTGGGGATTTGAGGGAGAAGGAGCAAGGGGATGAATAAATGATCCAGCAAGAAAGCATCACAGTACAGCTCTTCATGAAATAAAACAGGAGGGGGAAAAAAGGGTGAACGAGATGCTCAAGAAGCAACAGCACCCAGTACTTTGCAAGGCCTGAACCATAAAACACACGTGTGTGTCAGCGTTGGACGCTGACGCGCTCGCGGCATTGTTACAAATTCAATCACGCCTGTACCTCCACACTGCTGTGTGCTGCAGCATTAGCAAACGCTTCCTCCCCAGCAGCAATTGAAACTCATCTTTCACAGAACTATACACAAAAGAGAATATTGCCCTATCTCACCACGGAACACAAACGAATTGTTGCGTGGCAACTAGTACTGTCATAAATCAATCAAACTGAAAGCAACAGATCTTCAAGCTCTCACTTCAGTAACAACTCAGAATAGATTTATGGAGAAAGCAGTACTTTAATTCTAATTTAAAACTTGTCAACAGGAGTTCATCTTCAGATGGGACCCATGCAATGAACAGTAAACAAACTGACTGTGACATACGAGAGAAATCAGGTGACCTGAAGCTATATTTTGCAGAACTTATCTCAGACTAAAAGAGATTACTTCTGACAGTAAAAATTATAAAAGATCAGAGACCAGTGCCAATGTCTCTTTACACCAAGGTAAGTGAAAAGCCATGTAAGCAGAAACAACTGAATTGAGTGTGGTGGCTGTAAGAATTCCAACATGATAAATTGGTAATGTAATAAAAATATGTTTGAGTACTGGTATCAAGGAAGAAAGCAAGATTACAAACCGTAAGATGTATGGTCTGTTATGTAACAGCTAGCTCCCAGATATACCCTAACAATTTACACTTTTTTTAGTAGGAACAGTCACACTTTTACTGTTCATCAATATAACAGGCACCTAGCACATATCTGCAACAGTGTTTCTAGACCAGATTGACTTGACAAGGAGTTGTTGGGTATGAAAGTTTTAGCTGCAAAAATATACAAGTTCAAATACCAAAGCACATGGAAATACAATCTTGATATATCGCATGCTTGTGCCTTCACATATATTTTCATGCCTGATCAGAATATTTTAGATTCAGAAAACACTAAAAAGAAATCTTCTGGCACAATGGGTTATATAACTGTTGCAAGTATCAGTGTGTGACACTGACATAAAGGAATCATGGAATAAACAATTCTCAGAGACCCAAAATCACTTTCAGAAAACATTACTGAAGACACACTTTTGGCTGCTTGCTACATCACATATCATTTTTCTCTGTGTATCCTTCTGCAAGAAAGAGATCTTCTTTCTTGGACTTCATTTGGCTTCTGCTCTCCAGCTGGGTTCCTGTAACTTTATGAAACATGGGACGCTAGTGCATCTCTTAAACAGAAAGCTTGCAACAATCTCTTCCTTTCAAGTGCAAAATCTCTGCAGGACTCCAAAGCTCCTGCTAGAAAAATACCTAAGCTCCAAAGAGAGCCCAGCGCTTTGTGACTGACCCGTACAATGCAAAATAGTTAATTTCTCTGAATGTGTTTTCAGTGCTTAAAATTTTGGTCAGATTAATTTTAAAGTCAGTATTTGCAAACTTAAAATTTAAAATCTTTTTTAAAAAGCTACTCTTGAATATTCTTGTCTTTGAATACTTCTCCAAAAACATGGCATTCACACAATTCTTCTTCCACTAGGACTAAACTCAGCTCTATCTCACTCACAGCTATATGAGTGGTTTTTTCTGGTTTTTTTTTTTGGTTGGTTGGTTTTTTTAAGAAGAGAAGGCAAGTTTTGGTGTAGCTATGATTTACTGCCTTCTCCATAATACTGAAATTACACAGAGCTTACAAGAGAATTTAAACAGAAAACTGAACTCAGAACAGAGATCAAAATAAAATAATAAGGCCAGCTCCATCTGCAAAAAAACCTCCTCAACTTGAAATTTAACTTAAAACACTTAACTAACCCAACTTCAGAGCTATAGTTAGTCTTACCAATAGTGGTTGCTTGGGAATGGAAAAAACCCCAAACAGTTGTGATGAAAGTCTCTAAAACTGCCTATGTTAGATCTAACTTTTGGGGGAAAGATTGGCCTTCTGGAGATACAAATCTCCGTCATTTTCTATAACTGCAAATAAACAAGATGTCCATTTTTTAAATGGCTAAGTGAAACTAACTTAATCTCTGCTTTAGCGCGCACAACAAGACACCTAAAAGAATGTACAAGAGCATAGGGAATTCAAGTACCACAGACATTATGCTCACGGATTAACCACTACCAACTCAAGGTCTGTATTTATATAAAGCATAGAACCTCAAAGCACTTTGTAAGGCTGTACTTCCCATAAATGGTTCTTGTTAAACCCAGTGGTATTCCATTAAGCACTGGTTTTGTCTTACACATCTTACAGAATCATAGAACCATTGAATGTGTTGGGCTGGAAAGGACCTTTAATGGTCATCTAGTCTAAGTCCTCTACAGCGAGCAGGGACACAACCATCCTCCTCATCAAAAACATTTCCCAAAGATGCAGAGGAAGAGTTAACAGACAGCACCTCCCAGGTTTTGCTGCTCCCAGTATGAAGCTAAGAACCCCCCTTGACATTTCTTGAAAACTGTCCAACAGTGATGGCAAACCTATTCATGGGGAGCTTAGGAAAACACATTTTGCTTTAGACAGAAATATTGGATCTCTTGTTTATAACAGTCTCTTGGGAAAAAAAGTTTTGGCCTGGTGATTTTTTTTGGAAAATTCTTCCCCAGAACATTTCTATTTTCTGTATTCTCAAGCAGTATAATCTGATCTATGGCTGAAATGCTCTAAATACATCTAATTATGTGGACATAGCACCTCAGCCTGATGTCCTGCCAGGAGGCCAAGGGATTTAACAGTTAAATAAAACACAGCACAAAGAGGTGAGAGAATTTCGGAACAGAATGCAGACCCAGGCAGCAGCAGTAGCTCAGTCTACAGCAGAATCAGAAAAAGGAACATTCTCCATGAGGTCAGCTTTTCCTGAAGGACTCTCCAACTACAGCAGAAGCATCAGACAGCCATCTACAAAGAACAGCCATGATTTTTTCTCTACTATAAAACCATCATGAGGTCTGCTTTTCTCTCTCCCTGAGATACTGTCAGTAAATAATATTAAATTTGCTTTCCATAGTACACTGTAACTGTCGCTAAAAGAAACAATATTCATTCAGTTTGATTTACAACAGTTCCTAAACAGCCTTCTTGCTCATATACTGTTAATCAGGAAAGCCAATTAACACTTCCAGCAAGAAGGAAAATGAGAAGGTATATTCACTTTAAATCCCAAAGCAAGACTCAATTAAGACATACAGTCTGAAGAGCTCACCAGATACAGATGAAATTTAAGTTCTTATGAGTTCGTTACAGCTGAGTACACATGGTTAATTTATTAAACAAGTCTTTGTTGGAAGCTATGGAGGCAAATCACCCTACAGCTTCTACAGGATAAAGGTCTTTGAAGTATAGGTCCAATGTACTTAGAGCAAAGAGACTGAAGAATAAGCACAAGAATCTGTAGTTCTGTTAATGAAAGCAAGTTTTAGTAAAAAAAACCAACAAAAAAGCCTCACACATCTACGAGCAGCCTGTTTTGACCTCTGTAAACCTGTAATGATATGTTACATGACAGAAGAAAACTCCATTTTACTTGCAGCACAGAAAGAAGGAATTACAGGAAGAACAAAACATATTTTAACAATGTATTAAACAAAGCAAGGCATAACAGGAATCCTCAACATATCAATATGCAAACCTTAGACAATGTTTTCAGACAAGTGGGTATTCATATACATTATCTAATTTTTGACCTCTCAACTAGGTGAAAATGTCCCTTTGTAAACTTAGTGTAAATCTATTATAAGTACAGTAAAACGAAGAGTGCATTTTGAAAGACTCTTCCTCGTTAAGGGCTTTCTTCTGGCAAAATGCAATCATCAGCTGTTCTGAAATTATTTTCAGGAAAATGTAAGCTTAGACTCTCGTAACTGAGGCTTAGCCTAAGAAATCAACCGCCCTTCCTGACTTATCACAGACTTATTTTCTATTACTTCCAAATTTATGACTTAAAATCTAATACTACCTTGAATAGTTACAAGCTTTAACATAGCTTCTAGGTGTTCTTTTTCAGAAGCTGTAGCTTGATGCAACCAGGCCAGCATGTCTCCTACATACCTAAATGGAGACAGAAATCTCTGTATAAATCAGTGATTCACGGTGTCAGGGATTCCAAGTGCCAACAGGCAAAAGAAAGATTAATTTATATGCATTCTTGCTAGTACTGTACCTCAGAGGATCGTGGGAGTGCATTTCAATGGGGCGGGGAGTACCTCCCAGACCTCCTCTAGTAAGGGCATCTATAAAGCCACGGACTACAGCGCTCCTCCTCGCTGTTCCAAACTCATCCAACGTGTACCTGTTATCAAAACACAAAAATGGGTAAAACAAAACAGTCTGCCTCATCACAGTTTATTAGCTCAACTTCACAGTTAATATTAGTAACCGTTTTTACAGTGCTAGAAATCTGTGTGGCTCATTACAAAGCATTCAAAACCATCTGATTTTCTTGACTTCTCTAAAAAGTCATCTGGAAGATTACTCTGCCTTGATCCTCCCATTTCCTTATCCCACGCAAGTAAGTAAGTCAATGAAAAATCATCTTTTCCATTTTGGTACGTATAAGCATGCATTGACAGGCCTAGGACTCCTGTTCACATGTGGTCCAGCTGACTGACAGAAGCAGCAACTCACTGCACCACAATAAAGGCTTTCTCCTTCTTCAAGGCTACCACATGATTAGTAACAAAAATATTATTGGCATTTGATAGCTATTCACTGGTTTTAATCAGATGAGTCCTAGTTAGATGTTTAATGTATGGACAATTACAGCCCTGAGTGGGTAATCTCCAATGGTTTGGTGGCAGTAGAGGAGGTGTGGGAACAGACACGTGGCTCGTTTCTGGAGCAGGCGACCTTCCTAGGGGGTGAAGCACGACAGCAAGTGAAGGATGGGGAATGAACACAGCCCTGTTATATCTGCACAGAAACAGGCTTTTTGCAAGTCACAGAACACTTTCATTTAAAAAAAAAACAAAAACCCAAACCCACAAATTCAAGCATTTTGAATAAAACACACAAATTACAGAGAAGAAAATACACATGACAGTTTATTTTTCCGATATAACTGAAGAAATGCCAAAGAGTAAGCGTGGTGTCACTTGACAATGACACCCAGCAACTGAACAGATATAAAAATACCGCTAACAAAAAGCACGTTACTCACTAACTGCAGTTAAATGACTATTGCATTCATAATTAACAGATGTGGAAAACAAAATATGAAAGAAAATAATATACTGTTTGAAATATATTCCAAGTTAAGTTCCATCAGATTTCTATTACACTCTAAGAGACCCTTCAGTTTTGCTCTTTTCAACTGACATTACTGTTTGAGAGGGAGGAAAAAGCACACTCAAGAATCCAGAAATTACTATTTAAACCTTTTTTTTCATATACCGTACTTGTTGCCTCTGAGAGCAAATATCTGCAATTTAAAAAATTTAAAAAGAAAGTCTAATGAAATAAGGCTTTAATAAATTACTATTTATAAAAATTATGAAATGAAAATTAGGAGAGATCTGGAATCTGCCAACTTCCTACAGTCCAAGAGTAGCAGCATTGCAGAGAAAAATCTCGAGTGTTTGTAGAAACCAGTTAAGCATTTTTTTCCCCTCCAATAAAGCTACATAACAGATCACTAATAACACAGCAGCAAAACAGATCTTGTGATCTCGTTATTAATTTCAAAAAGAGCATTTAATAATGATCATTTTACTTTGAAGAGAAAATGAAAACTACTAATTTTCCTTTTGCTCTCAGCACAATAGGGTATAACTATTACAAAATCCTGCATCTTAAGAAAATCAGTAATAACTGTTATTTACACTAGAAACACAGTATTTACTACTATGTTATTACATGTCCTTATGTTAGGGGAAGAAAACAACATTTGGATTCTTTTCAACCCAGCTTCAATGTTTTAAACACTCAGTAGTGATCACTGTGGGGACAGGAAGGAGGTGGAGAAAAAGCTTTTAAAATCAGAGTGGATGATGGAAGAGGAACACTGCTTTGAGCTAGACTCCATGTAGTTTCCATGAAACGGTTTTCCATTTTTCTGTTAGAACCAGGAAGTGAAAATCAAATCGAGATGTTTATTTCAGACCCCTACTAACTGCACTTCCCAAAAGTCCACACATGGTGCAACCTCTCTGCCACTTTCAGCTACAAATCAGAAGTCAATCTAAGAAAAACTTGTAGTTTTTTTCTATACTCCTGCCTCTCTCCATTCCTACTCACTTTCCCCCAATCAAATCACAATCTTTATCAGATGCAAGGGCAGTGATTTGGAGGAAAAGCATTTGGTTCACACAGCAGTGCTTATATGCATAAAACCAACAATAATTTAAAATTACCTTCTTCTGTGACATAATTTTTACATTTTAAATCCAGTAGTCTTATGTACAGGAAGCACCCAGAACTTTTTGGAAAGGAATAAACTAAATCTTGACATTTAAAATGTAAAGCACCAGTACTGCAATTCTGACAATACTGCTGTAGCAAGTAGCTAAGCACAATAATGTATGATGAGACACAGGGCTGCATCTTCCACTGTAATGCTTACTTTTGCCTTTTTTCAGAAGAAAAGTCCTACCTGCCAAGTTTTACCTTTCGTAATACCAGTGCTGCTGTCTGTGAGAGAGGCGTCAGAAGAAAAATAAAGTCCCTTTTGCAGTTTAATTTGAAACTGATCATCTGTAGAGTTATACAGAGGATTTTTTAAATTTTATTTTTCCATAAATGTTAAGAAAGTAAAACAACAGTTTTATGAAGTCTGAAAGCAACATGATAGAATCACAGAATCATAGAATGCTTGAGGTTGGAAGGACCTCTAGAGATCATCTAGCACATCTGCCCTGCCAGAGCAGGATCCCCTAGGGCAGCCACACAGGAACGCATCCAGGTGGGTTTTGAAAGTCTCCAGGGAAGGAGACTCCACAACCTCTCTGGGCAGCCTGTTCCCTCACAGGGAAAAAGTTTCTTTTCGTTATGAGGTGGAACTTTCTATGTTCTAACTTAAACCCATTATTTCTTGTTCCACTGCTGCGTGCCACTGAAAAGAGATTGCCCCCTTCCTCTTGACACCCACCCCTCAGATATTTGTATACGTTAACAAGGTCTCATCTCAGCCGTCTCCTTTCAAGGCTAAACAGCCCCAGTTCTCCCATTTTCTCTTCACAGGAGAGATGTTCAAGTCCCTCCTAGTAATTTAACAAAGTATTTATTACAGAAAACATAAACTGTATCTACAAAGAATCCTATAAAATGTTGTGAACACAGTTGCAACTGATCCTTGGCAGCTGTGAGAAAGGGCCTGGAGGAGAGAAGGCAAGAAAGGCCAGTGCACTCCCCGGCAATGGCCCCATGTCCTGCAACACAGCACGGGTAACAGCTGGGGAGATTGGGTGACACCACTTCTGCCTCGCAGTAACTTGCAGAACTGACTGAGCGTGTCGGGACTTGCGCTCTCTCTCGTGCTTGCACCACGCATTTTCCCCACGAATTGTTCTGTGGAGATTTATAGCGTCACATACCTGCACCTCTGCACATCTGACACTCTTTTAAGGGCAAGGCTGGCCTTTGAGAGGCTGCCTAGCACTCTGCCGTTCTGGATGCCTGAGGCTAGAAATAGTCTGCAATAGCTGCAAGATGTTTTAAATAGCTGCATTGTTTTAAAAAAAAACCCAAAAAATCAAAACCAAACCTCTAAGAAGTATCTCTTCAGGTACGGTTACGCCAATAAAAACTGTTCCTACAGTGCCACCTCGTGGTTACGTTTTCTCTACCTACTACCATTACATTTCTCTTAAGAAATCCCTTCAGCAAATTCTGAAGCAGAACTAAACAGTAGTGTATTAAATACATAAATATATATATATATATGTTAAAGACAATCTACTACATATGGGCCTCCAAACTGTAGGGGCATTTTTTTATACATAGAGATATAGCTCTGCATTTTTATATAGAGATATAGAAGTACCCCTATGCTTTGGAGGTCCATGTGTAGTAGACTGTCTTTAATAGATTGCTGTACAGCTCATCACGAAAGACATTCTTACTCCCAGAAGCAACCCAGTAAAAGCTAATTAGCCTTCATCAATTTTCTACTTTGGGAATTTAAGTGAAATGATCGCATACTTTAGACGGCATTTTTTTCTTCTACAATGAGAGCAGCAGAAATTCAGAATTCATTTAGACTAAAAAGTCTGACATTTTACTTTAATTAGAAACCAGTAAGTTGAAAAAAGTCCAATGACATTTACTATATCATAATTACATGAAAAAGACTTCTGAAATTTAAAGAAGTTGCACTGTGATTTTTTTTTTTTGCATTTGCCTATTTTTAAAATCTGACACAGGACTAAAATGCCACCATCCTTGGCACAGTAATGCATGTCTATCTTTACATTTTATAGGCTGGAAATACTAATTTCTGTTGGAGATAATCATGAACATCTACTTACTTATAGAGGACAGGTCTATCTTGTAAGGCTTCCATGGCTTGAGCGAGAACTGGAGAAATGTCACAGGATTCTTGGGTCAAAGTCCTGCATTCATCTATAAAATTTCAACACAGATAAAAGCACATTCTTTACACTGTAATATTTTTTCTAATTAGCTGTCAAACAAGAAAGTGAGTTAAAAATTCAAAGTTGTTTTTTTTTTTAACTGAAGCCTTCAGAAAGTGCTACCTGTCCTAGTTCGTGTTAATTAGATTCCAGACTTCGCTGGAAAATGGGTGTCCATCACCAATTTCCACAATAATAAAAATGAAAGGAAGCTTAGTATCTCTTTGTGCCAACGTACAAATGTTTAATCATTCAACCACCAGAATTCTGTCAGGCTCCTTAATAACGTTTACCACTTTCCAGGTAAATTATTAAGAAAAAAGAGAGCGATAATTTAAGCAAGCCATGGGTTTGTTTTATTGTTGGTTCACAGGTTTTTTGGTGGAGTTTTGTGTTTGGTAGTTTGGTTTTTTATTGGTTTTGTTGTGGTTTTTTTTTCATTTTGATGGTGTTTTTTACATTAATCACATTTACTATATAATATTGTACTTTCCATGCAAGAATGTGGAAATCATATAAACTAAATCAAACATCGGCATAAAAATTATGAATTTCAGTAGGGTGAAACCACAACCGTTACTTGAGATTTCAACATCCACTGAAGAACAGCTAACAAATACAGTATCCCACTGCACGAGCTTTTTCACAAATCTTCCTGTCAATGCCTTTGGAGAAAAGAGAAGTAATAATAAAGCATCTATGTTTTATACTATGAAGATGTTACACTGAACACTGACATTTGGATCCAGAGTACATATGCAAAAAATAATTGCCTACTATCATTCAAAAGAGCATCCTGATAAAATAAATTTGGAGGTTTTTTTTCTTTTTTCAAGGCAGTAAGCCACTCCTCCCACTAAACTAGATCTTTCTACCAAATTGTCAATAGCAACTTCCCTGTAAAATGAAAGAAAAAAAATGCAATACATTTAACAATTTGCTTAGACTACCAAACTGTAGTAGTTGTTCTCTGTGGAAAACCATCTAAAAATAAAAGTAAGTAACACACTTTTACACACAGAGATGTGACTGGCCCAAAAAAGGAGAGAATCTCCAATTAACTACTTAGTTCACAACAAATCTTTCATTAAGGTGAAAACCAAAAGCCCTGTTAATGAATCTTGGAAAGGGTTTTTGCTGAGTTCAAGCCACATCAAGGAATTAAAGGAATCATCATAATAATATTCATAAACATAAAAACATTCTTAGTCATACTTTGAGTCCATCTGTAAAGTCGTTCATAAGATGTCTCTTGCAGTAAAGCCATCTGTTCCATAATTTCCAGGCTGGAAGACAAAAAGATTTTATCTGCAAATACTATTTTAGGTAGTACTAGAAAAGGCACGTACAAATCAAACAAAACACACCATTACTGAAAGTACAAATATTTTAAAATGTTAATTTTTTTTTAAATACCCCGTATAGTCATATGAAGTGAAGAATGAGACCTTTCTGTAACTTCTGCTTTTAACTAGTAAATGGTTATCTTGCACTCACTGAAGCAGCACTCACCCCGCCCTTTGCTGATTTGTCCGGAGGAGAATCTTGACATCGTCGTGAATTTGCTTTACTCTTCCCAAAGCCTTGAAAAAATCCTAAATCAATTTTTAAAAATATAAAAATAAAAGCAGTGTTCAAAAGCAGTATTTTTTCATTCAAATCTCTAGCACTTTATATTAATTTCAATTCCATATTTATGTTTCTTGCAGGTCTGTGTTCCAAATGCTACTTTAAAAATACTAGCCCCTCTCTTCCACCTCCCAACCTGTCATTTCCATCTGAAGAGCCTTAGGATTTTTTTCTTTCCCATTGCCTCATGCCTTTCTTACACACACACACACAAAAATAACAGCAGTAAGGATGTGTTCTTAAATCTGTTTTTGTTTTATGTAGCATGTGTGTGTTCCACATTTATTAATTAACACTTTGGGGAAATTCTGAGGGCATTACTATGCATCCCAACATCTCCTGATTTACATTAGTAACAGAAGAGCAAAATGAAACATTTTGTAGCACAACCACAGGTTGAAATTTTTTGTTTTCATATAATGGAGTAACAATTTCTAAGAAAAATCAAACACTTGCAACAGACTACACGAAAGTTTTCGAGGACCATCTTTCTAACTCAGCAGCATCAAAGAAAAAAAATCAAGATTTTCAAACATGTCGTATTATGAAGTCATCTTTCAAACATCACAGAGAACACCAGCTACTTCAGACATAATTATTAAACCTTTTGTGACTTGAAAACAGTTTGTCTCAGGAGAGTTACATTCTGGCTCAAGTCACAAAAATACATGTATTCTAAGTGCAGTAGGACACTGGTTTAACCTACTACCTGGCATCAACTCTGTTGAAGATTATGTTTATAAAAAGCCAAATCACACCTCCTTCAGGGAAAAAAAAAAAAAATAATGCCAAAGCAGAAGCCTGACTAAAACGGTTTATAAGCACACTGGTTGATTTTATCATGTGGAAGAAAAGCAAAAGCACACACACGATTTTACTGGTTTGCCATTTCAGTAGCACAACTATGATGATACATCAGTTACTTCTGCACATTTTTTAAACAGTTTGAAGTATCAAAAGGACTAATCCTCCTTCTGCTGCAAACCAAGCGCTGAATAAATGGTAGAGCATTGCTGTCATTGTTCCCTGCACCATGTGCTTTTTAGAAACCTGAACGTTCTCTGACAGTTAACAGTCGGTACAAAAACATACCGCAATTACTCAAGTGCACAATCATTTAATATATTCTATTTATGCCTTCATTAGCATTGTTTATGATTTTCTGTTCCATGTCTTTAAAAATGCTTTAACTGCAAACAGGATGCCTCTGGAAATGAGATAGTATGTCTCAGCAGGTAGTCTACAGTTAAGTAAAGGTATCTACGCAACTACAATAATAAAAATCTATTAAGTGTACTCAATTCTCCCATTACTCAGTTTGCCTTTAATGGAGAACAACGTGCCTTCTTATTCATACCTTAAACATATTCAAAAATTTGTTTTGGAAGGTGGCTAAAAATGAATCAGCACCTAATAACTTCATCAAACAATAATGAGGGAAAGTCTCAAGTTTATATTGTTTCAAGCCACTTAATGTCTGTATACATCCAGATGAAAAACGCACACACAGACAGGCACAAGGGCAGGACTAAACATCACTGAAGCGCTGCAAATTTCTCCTTTGCTTTATTTGAGGGGTCTGATGAAGTTTTAAAACATCTTCATTGAAAATTCAGACTTCATAAAGCTCTTTTTGAAGTGTAGAACCACTCAATAGCTCATTTGCCCCTTAAACTCATTACACAAACTAGAATTTAATGTTGATTTTCCTTCTTGTTACTTGAATCTTTCATCACACATTTCAAACTAACGAGAAACTCACCATTCTGTTAAAAGGTACATTCCTTCCTACAAAATTAAATTACAAACCAATAAGAAGACCTCATCTACAATTAAGTTAGGACACGTCTACATTTTAGTTAATGGCAAAGCTTTTAATGCTTATTGAGATACCTCAGTAATTGGCTCATCTTTTGTGCCTCGAAGGAGGTTCATTTCGTCCGGTGTCAGCTGGAATTTTGCTATGAATGCGTCTGCAACTTGTGCTTTCATTTCTAGCCTCTGACTGTAATAAAATAAAGTGGACATCACCCTTTTATGCTTATCTCAGATTTACTTTGCATATTCATACTTTCAGGAATAAAATTAGCATTAGAAATTGGTGTCATTAAATTCTAATAGTACGTTCTTGCCACCCAAACATTTGAGTTGCATCTTCACATACAATTTTCTACTAATCTTACATGGATTACAGAGTACGCACAATATAAAAGTAGGTTAATACATTTGAAAACCAGCAGGTCCTTTAAAAAACCCCAAACTTTAGCATTTGTATCACAAGTTATCTAATCCAGATACTTTGTGCTTGTACAGTTGTAATGCCTGCAGTTATTTCCTTTCAAACTGATCAAGGAAAGAATGGGGTTTCAGCTCACGTTTCCAGAGAGACACAAAAAGCTGTAGCACGCAAAATGAGAAAATGACCATCAGATCAATCTACTTTTCTGTGGAACAGATCCATTTCTTTTTAACAACATACAGTTGGGATACAAATTTACTCATCTCACAGGCAATCAAAACGAAATGGCTAATTTTCTCGTTGATCACTCTCCCTGAAATAAACTCAGGAGAGATGTAATACGCAAACGCCATCTCGTGGGCAGCATCTTTTTGCACATGTTTTGTCACACACCTTACAAACCACAGAAGGATCCAAACGAATACAGCTTTATTCCACAGGAAGGGGCTGGAATTACTGCAGCAACAGAAAATTTCCTCCAGCTGTGGTTTGAGCACACAGCATTCCAGCAAATCAAGACTACTTTTTCAGGACACTGAGAGGACACTATTTAGTTATTTCTAGAAGAATAAGGCTCAATTACTTCAAGACCATTTCAGCTTCCAATGTAATTACTGCAAGATAAATACATTGTTAGTACAGGGTGGTAAGACAGGAAAGCACACTTCTAATACTGACTGCAATAATTAAATTTCCTTGCAAGATCAAAACTTGAAAAGTAAGTTTTTCTTTATTTACTCCTTCTCTACTATTCAATCAATATCTGGACTTCATCCAGCTAAAGAAGCATGGGGAAAAAAAAAAGCTGAGTCAAAAAGGGAACTGCTTTCCCTTCTGTAGACATGGATGACCTTCCCATCTTGCAGTTCCACACACTCTATTTTTATAGAGATCAGATTAAATATTTTGCAGCTGTCAGCACTCAAGAATACTGAATAGCAAGAAGCAGGGCAGTATGAAAATCTAACAGTGTTTACCAGTAAAGTTTATGAAAATCAAAGAGGAAAAGCAACCCAGTACTTGTAAGTCACACAGACATCACATAAACAAAAAGGAAACCCCAAAATTCATATGCTTTAATACCACATCTTTAGTAAGTTCGGTTTTCCCAGGGACTCATGCAGATGTTACTATTTTGCCTTTTTACTGACAGTTTTTCAATGCTTAAAGTCAATCTAATTTAATTTTCTCCAAGTACACTCTAAAATTGCAAATGCAGGGTCTCCATGAAGCTGAACGTTTCTCAGGGAAGAAACAGAGTGATGGAGGATGATTTTGGACAACTAAACAGGCAATGATAGCAGATGGATCCATGAAAAATTATACCACTTTCCAAGCAATCTGGTGGTAGCTCCCTGCAAGGGAGGCAGAACAGGGAAGAAGTCTAAAAAAAGAGGGCTGAAGAGTACATACACAGCTTGGAAACAAGAAAATGCCAGTACAGGAAGAAAGGAAAGGTATTTGGAAGAGAGAACAGAGACTGAGAAGCATCACGATGGTTTGGCAAGAAGGTGAAGTTAATTTTCTAGCACAAGGAATGGAGCGTGGGGAGAGAGATTCAGCAGAGAATGGAAAACACCAACAGATTCTGGAGGCAGAGAGGGGGGATGCGTGAGGTGCTTGGTCTGAAGGGACTGAATTTGCCCCATCTTCTCTTCAAATAACTTTATCCAAATCTCTCAGACTATCTTGGAAAGCTATCGTCAAATCCAAACAGACCTGGCACTGGTTTCCAGCCCCATTGTCTGACACAGAAAGTGTGGTAAACCTCAACACAGTGGAAGAATATGATTTTGAACACATTCAGGAAATCTTCAGCAGGAAGGTAAGATGATAAAATCTAAAGAGATGTGTAACTTCAGCCGGACATAGAGGGGAAGATACCAGGATAGGCTGTATACAAAACATGCAAGAATTAATAGACAGGAAGATACTAACAAAAGAGTATTTTGAATTAAATAGGAGGCTTGTGAGAGATTTTCTACTGGTAACTACACCATTCTCACAGCACTGACGAAAGATGGATCAGGTCCGCTCTGTAGTAATACTTGCCATCGTGGCAGTGATGCCTGAGCCAAGCTGCTGCCTCAGCCATCCCTGCTCATCCCTGCCCTGCGCTGCCCCTTCCACTGTGCCAGACCTGTTTAGACCATCACACAGCGAGCCAGATTAGGGAACAAATCTGACAGGAAAAAAACCCCAATTTTTTGTTGTTGTTTTTTTGGTGGTTGGAGGTTACATGTATTCTTTAATTCAGTTTACCACAGGCCTGCACTGAGGGACTGTGGGGTACTAAGTTCTGTACAGGAATACCCTCTGTACTGAGGGGTGTGCCAGCACAGCCAGCAGCCAGAGACAAAGAGGAACAACTACTTACTTCACAGCTACTATGAAACTGTTCATGAAAACTCCATTTTAGAACTCTCCTGGGGTAGAAAAAGAGGTCATTTCAATAGTCAGTTTCAACTACAACTGCTAAATATTAGGGCCCTACTCTCACAACCCCTCAAAAAAACCCCCAGAAGCATATGACATAACTACTTCAAATTGAAAATCAAGCAAGGACACTTGAATTTTCACCCAACAACGGTGCTTTCAGCAGTGCTCTCCTGTTTCATGCCACTGTGCTGAGAAAGACTAATCCATCAATGTCATCATCACTGGATTTGGTTGGAACAACAATGTAATTTGGTGAACTAATTTTGTTTAATAGTTGCTCCAAGCCGAGCCTCTTGTGATGGAGATTTCAATGTAATATAAAATCACAAAGCCAAAAACACCTTCACTGAATTGTCTCTCCCTTTAGGGAAAAGAAAGTAAGAAAGAGACTAGAGAAAGCAAATGCAAGACCCTTTTGTTGCAACTGAAACAAGATCTCCCATAAACACAGGAGCAGATGGGATGTTCAGAAACTTCTCTTTGAACCTATGTATCTCCTCAGTGCATAAACTTCTAAATGCTCTTACCGAATATCTCTATTTACTATTATCTCCTGTTCTTCATATTTTTTTTGAATGTATACTTTCACCTAACTGGGGGAGGGGGGAAGTCCGATTTAAGAAATGCAATGTACTGGGTGTAAGAGTTTTTTCAGTTTGCTTTGTGGATCTGCTGGAATTAGAATTGCAGACTTTGAAAGAACGAGGACCAGAGTCAGGAGCTATAAAGAGCACGCTTGTTAAACGCACTGAAATTCTGTGCCTCCTTCACTCCTGGCATTATAAAAACAAACAATAGCAGAAGATGTAACTACTCAGTCTCTCTCCGCTTACAAGTCCTCACTCTGCCCAGTCCCTCCCCTCTTGCTTTTTTGCTGCTACAGAGAACAAGGTTCAATCAAACATCGTGCTTTAAATCCATTGCATTTTGGCTGTGCCGTTGGTTAACAACTGCCATAACTGCTCACTGATGCACTCTGCACACTCCCAATAATGAACTTTTATAAAACAGAGTCAATATATTGAACTCTAGTATACTGGCAAGTTACAAGTTTCACAATGTGAACACAAGATAACAACCTCAAGGTGGCAGCAGAGTTTCATCCACGTTTTACTAAATGATAATCCCGAAGCGGTGAGAGACATCTATCCTAAACCTAAAAGCACGCGTGTGAATTTTGACAAAACCATTTCTTTTGCACTCTTTACAAAGGTCATGGGATTCCAACAAGCCACTCAGTTTCAAAACTGAGGTTTCTCACCACTGCTTACACTGGCTATGAAAGGGGCCTTGGTTATCAATCTGTATGGCAAAGAGATTCTACATCCTAGATGACAGATCAGAAACAAAACATGTGCTACGTACCCTTGACTCCTACCTGGCAATACACAATATTAATGACACGAATGCAATCACATAGGTATTTAATTTCTTATATACGTGTATAGAATCGTATTTCCTCAGGCATAACCTGAGTCTTTAGCTAGAATTTAATGAAACTTACAAAAAGCAGGGAAGTGGATTAAATTATCACTCCAGCTTGCTAGAGCTATTTAACTGTGGTAAGTGCTACACAAAACACAGTCCAGGTAACAACAAAAGTTAGAGGAACACCTTACGTGTAACCCACAGCAGGTGGTACCCCTGCAGGCACCTGGACATTTCAAGACCCGCTGGCCTTTCTGTAAAAACATTTCTAAACTGTGTTCTGAGCCAGTGCAGAGGAAATCGCCATGCTGTGCTGTTTTCCCAAAGGAGGTTTTTTCTTTTACTGAAATTATCCCTGCATAACGAAACAAAACTAACAGATCATGGGAACATTGCACCGATGCAAAGGGGGAAAGGCCAAATGCTAGTAGACTTTGGAGATTGGGGGGACAGGATTTCAACAAAGAGCAACTTCCCCAGTTTTCATCGTTGCCAGGGAGACAGAATTCTTTTGCAAGAGAACTCAAAAGGCTGGGAAAACTATGCACTCCATGCACTTCTCCCTTGAACCAAATACAAATGTGCACTGTTTGTTAGGATTATCACCTAGACAGCTCAAAAAATGAGGTGGAGGGGAAACAGGCTTTTCCAAAGTTCAATTTTATCTGGCCACCAACTGCAGCACAAAAATCTGCTAGCTTCCTTGTCCTACGACAGGTCACAGCAGCACATTCTGAAATTCCTTTCAATTTGTGGTACTGAGGATTTCACTCACTTTTACAGCTTCAGAAAGATGGAGTATTTCTAACTCATAAAGGAATAACAACCATCTTGAACAGACATGTATAAATGCTTTTCAGCAGCAGCTGTAAAAAATATTTTTCTGTGATGGTTTTTGT